GTTTTCTTACCAGCCGAACTGCCCCAATTTGTTTGCCAGGACACATTTTGGGTCCGGCCCGTACGCTGCTTAAAGCAGCTGGAAGCCAGGGCCCAGAGACGAAGGTGGGGGTCGTTTCTCTGAAGCCCGGCTCTGTCGAGCGCTCACGGGTGGTTCGCGTCACCTTCCCACCGCGCTCCCCTCGTCACCCCCTCCCGTCCGCACTCTTCTGGCTCTTGCGCCGCGGCGAGCGGAGACCGAGGCCAGTCCCGCAGGCTCGGCGCCGCGGCGGCCAGGGGATTGACCCGCGGGTCGTCCAGGCCGTCCGTCGCCTCGAGGCACACGACCGCCCACAGCTTCTCCATCGTCACCATAGACGCCGGCGCCTCGCCGTCGACGGGCTCCCAGCCCCCGAACCCGGCGTGCAGGAGGACTGCGCCCTCGATCTGCGCCGGGGTGCTGCGCGTGCCTCTGCACATGGGTGCGCTCGCCGACGCCGCGGACGCGCAGCTCTGCGGCGAGTACCCGCAGAGGAGGCCGAGCTGGTGCTGAAGCTGGGCCTGCTGTGCCTCTGCCAGTACAATTGCGACACCATCAGGTGGTTGCCATGGACTGCGGTGGCAAGGCTGCAGCCATGAACGGCGTGTGCCTTCAACCTGTTCGTAGAAATGTCTGAGAGAAGAGATAGGAAAAAAAAATTGGAGGTAACTCCACCACATCCTGCTGCAAGGTGACCATATACCACTGTACAGGCAAACAAACAGGATCTCTAAATAGAACCAAAGGTGTTGCACCACATGCTGGGTCTGTCCCTGGCAGCCTGGCTCTCCCCGTCCGACCGGGCTGGGAACGTCCAGGAAACAAACACCGTCATTATTACCCACCTTTGTGAGGAAAGAAAGGAGATTATGTGTCTTTTTCTGTGGGAGAAGAAAGGGCGACAGACAAAGTGCCATATCTTGCTCCTCACCCTACCGTCTGAAGGTCTGGTCCGAAAGGCGGCGCGTGAGGTCAACAAACCAGCAAAACAAATGGCCCCGTACCCTAAGCCAGCCCCACAGCCTCCAAAGAATGCTGTGGTTTCTAGACCGAGAGACGTGCACGCTTGTACAGTACACAGTAAAGCAGAAGGCGCACGGACGCAAGCCGAGGCGGGGCAGGGCATCATCTTCGTCCGCCCTTCCCGTCCCACCGCACGGCGACGGCGCACATGCCGAGGGGTAGGGGGGGGCGTCGACGGGCAAAGGCTTGGCGTTTCCCCGGCCGGCCAGCCGGCCGCCGTCCTTTCCTTGGTGGTTGCGCAAACAGACAGGCTTCGCTCGTTGGTTTCAGCCAGCCAGCCAACAGTGTTTTTCTCTTAAAAAAACTAGCACCAGCCAGCCCAAACCAACACCAGCACCAACCAGCGAACAGGCCCAGAAGCTGGGGGTGGACATAGGTCGCTCCCTCCGCAACAACCGAGCCGCGCAGTCCATCCAAGCCAACGCGCTGTTCGTCCGACCGATCGGCTGGCCGATTGCGTCGCTTCGCCCACGTCGGCCTCTCCCTCCCTCTCAGTCCCGTCACGCCGGGCCTCGCGCTCGCGCGCGCTGTCGCTATCCTTCCCCTCTCCACTCGGCACCCGCCAGCCTAGTTGGCGAGCTAGTGACGCGCGCGATCCTGTCCCCGCGACGCACAGTGCCGCGACTGCCACACCAGTGCACCACGCCCACCCGCCCGAACGGAACGATCCCCAGCCTGTTCGTTTGGCCGCGGCTTATCGTAAACGATCGTAAATTTCCAATCGAAACAATATTTTTCTTTCATACAAACCAGCCAGCGGTACTTCTTTACGAACCATTATTGCTGCTGCTGCTGCCGTGGCCGCTGCCGCTACTTCGCCGGGCAGTCGCTGTCGATGGCCTCGTCAGGCACGCATCAGTTTGGCTTCCGCGAACCCGCCGCGGTGTCGGTGGTCGCTGCTCTGCTACGTACCACTGCAGATTGAGTGAACAATCCCACTATGAATTGTGATTCTGTGTCTGCATGCACCGCATCACCTGCTGCTTCCTTTCCGGTCAGTTAGCGTGAGCATATGTCCGTGGGCACTGACACGTGGATGACGGCAACGTGGGGGAGTGGAGATCAGCCTGGTGACGCCGAAAGCGCTCCCCATTTGAGTGAGATTAGGAGCAAAGGAAGCTATAGCTGGTGAGTGGTGAGACATCCGGTTCCGGTGCAGCCGTGCGTGCCCGTGCGAGCCCAGCTAGTTCGCTCGCCGGTTTCGTCAAAAGCGCCTTTGTTTCGATTCCAGGAGTAACCGAACTGTTTTAATTTGTTCTCTGCCTTTCCTTTCTTTCTAAAAAAAAAGATTCGTTACATCTGCTCCTCCTACCAGAACCTCTATTGGTGTGCATGCCAGATTGCCAGGCACTGACAAAGGCGAGTTTCCAGAAGAGGCAAAAAAAAAAAAGTCGCCGTGGAGTGGAACTGCAAATATAGCTAGCTGTAGTGCGTTCCTGCGCCCGGTCTGTGCGCCACCGTCCTTCCACATCGAGAGAGAATAGGGTAGAATAATCGCGGCTTGGTTAGCAGATGATGAAACTGACGGTAGAGAATAATGGGCTAGCAGACAGCCGCCGCCTGCCGGTGACAAAGAAGAGGAGGTGACGAAAGGGCCAGGGCGCGCGATCGACACACAGTGATGGAGGGAAACTTGTTGGGGTGGTTGCGGTCTGGTAGAATCCAAGTAGGACGGACTGCGGCTCGATCGATTTGGAGGATCGGAGTAGGTTAACAACTTAACCACCCTGCACCGTACAGGACGAATGGACGAGTGATCGCGGCACACGGGCACCATCAGTCCATCATTGCACACTTGAATAATATGAAAAGATTGAGACTATGTATATATACAGTGTACGTATGGCTTAGTCACCCGGCAACAGCAACTCTCACCATTTGAAAGTAGTGCCGGTGTTGTCGTGTAGGGTCCGGTTTCTTCTGGTCATGCATGGCGACTGCAAGGCGTGCAAAAACTGCGAGAAAAACTTGTGGTTGATATGCTTGGCTTGGCTTGGCTACGTGATGATACCAGAATGTATATATCGTGTGCTCACGAAGATAGGACGTCTCCAATGGAGAATCTACGGCCTTGGTCCGAAGATGGGACCTCTAGCTGATTTGATGTCACCTGTTATACTAGCTCAAACGTTTAGCAGACTGTTCGTTTCGGCTGAAACGATCGTGGATTATTACTGTTAGCTGGTTTGGTGTGAGAGAAAAATACTACTCTGGCTTATAATCTACGATCGGTTACGACCAAGCTGTAGGACTACTGATGTGAATCCATAGACAGGAGCCATATTATTATGAGAGAAAAAAATGTACTCTTCTAATCCCTTTCGTTGGTAGTATTAGTATGTCTTCATTGAATAGAATCTGACTCCATGGATGGACATGCTCTCTATATGGAATCAAATCCACAATGTAAAGAACTTGGTTCTATATTTGCATTTAGTAATAATATATATAGGACTAGCCAAAAACCACACGTTGGAGAGACCCGATGCCCATGTGCTCCTACTACGATTAAAAAACACATGAAAAGTGCTGACCAAACTGCGCTAGGAGTACTCCGTATGTATGAATAGAATGGCGCATCTACTATGTTATTGAAAAAAAAATGAGATTAATAAAAAAAATTGTGCCAAGAAAAATAAAAAAAAAGGCAATTCAGCCCTTGGAGCACTCGAGGAGGTCCGGATGCAGCCCATTCAAACAAAACTCCGCCATACTGCTGCTTCAAGCTTTAGCTGTAAAGTGCGTGCGACTCTACCTTCCTTCCGTTCGTGCACGGACGACTCTCCTCAAACATTGCTGCTGCGTTTTCGTCGACCACCACCGGTCAGCACTGTATATCCGCCATCCGGCGGGTCGCCTTCGTGGTGCGTCAGCCGGCGACGCGCGTTGTTCGGCCGCCAGGCTGCGAATCAAAAGGACGGACGGGACGGGAGGACCACGTGTGCACGCACCCATCTTCTCCGGTTCATAAATTTTGCGAGACTTCTTCGGCTCGCAATCGACTAGTACGTATAATTTTTACGGAGTAGCTCCTACTCCGTAATTTGAAAATTCAAATCGCATGCACGAACGGTACGATTCTCTCAGGCCTCGTTGGATTAAACAAAAAACATAGGATTCTCATTCGTTCGTATGGATTGAGTTAGTAGAGCGTCTTGTGATTCGTAGGAATAGCTTGCAGAAAAGATATGAGATACTTTTCTAGGAGTTCGATTTTGGAAGTCTGATGCTAGCCGGATGAGCTAACTAATCAATCTACTGAACTTTGAACAGCATTCTCCTTTCTCTTTTCCAGATACCAGAACCTTATCGTTAAGAAGATATCCCTAGATCAGAAATAACCATGGAAAGGGAGCCGATTGTACCCCTGAAGGGTGGTACTATATAAAGAAACATCTGTCCATTCATGACCTTAGATAAATATCCCTAGGCCAGAAATAACTATGGAAAGGGAGCCGATTGTACCCCTGAAGGGTGGTTACTATATGAGGCCTCTTACTATATACTCCATTCGTCCCAAAATAAATAACTTTCTGTAACTTTTCAAACATATTAAGGATGCTGAGAAGGATATCTCTTAGATTTGGCAGTTATCATTTGCATACACAAGTAACAGATGCTCCGCAAGGCTCAGCTTCATCTGCATACATGGAATGGAATATAAGGACTGCGGTGAATCACTTCATTTATCATTATCATCCATACGACTCCACCTGCCAACAACTGGTATCAATCAATACAACTGAGTCATGAATGAAACAATGATTGTCTCGGCCAAGGATCCAGCTTCGCCCTCCTAGTTTCTTTCCAGGTGGGGGGAGCTGCCCTTAAACCTTAAAACAAATGCTGCTATGGTCCATTCCAATTCTTCCCATAGTATTTTGGGGTTACTTGAACCCCTGGAATTGGCAGATCTACCCAATGCCATTTTACACAAGTTGGCCAACAAGGTATTAAATTTACTTGGGGTCTGAACTTCCGTCTTGGTAGCCTTGAAGAATTGTGTTGCAAGTATTCATGGCGCGGGCATCAAGAAGGCTGTGGTTCCAGAGTTTAATCATGAAAAATCGCCAGCCCCTGTTCATCAAGCGAGAAAATTGCAATAAGATATGTAAACATGCATAGTGTGGCCAGCTGAGGGAACGAACCAAACAGAGCCTTAATGTATCTATATTTCTACAGCAGCCACTCACCACAGAAGGGCAGGGTTTTGTACAAGCTGTTCTCCATGGCATCTGGAGAATGCCTCGCAGGCCCAAGGTATGTGACCATCAGCTAGCACCCTGCAATTACCACTTTCAGTAGCTAAAAAGTAATAAAACAAACAAAAAAACAATGAATTGAATATTGTCTATGAATCTGGAACAACGAAGGAGTTCAATTAATCATGGCAGGCAACCATGGCAGATATATGGATCAATGAAGGTGCAAGACTACTACACCAGTGGAGGTGATAACGGAGATCAAGTGGAATTGTTAGGTAGAGATGAAAACAGTCGGGAACGATATCATCCATACGAAAACAACTGCCGGTTGGTCAGAAATTTCTCTGATTTCAAAGTTTAACTATTCAATAGTGACTGCAATATGGTACTGAAAGAAATTAGAAAATCCAAATTTTTATAGTCGTAAACGGAAACAAGCCCCCGTACGCAGGATTTTCGGGTATGGTTTCCATCCCTGAATTTAGGCTTGTTTGAATAGAGGGACTAGCGATGAAAGGGGGCAAAGCGATGGGCCCTGATGGTATCCCAATCAAGGTGTGGAGATGTCTCGGGGATATAGCTATAGTATGGCTAACCAAGATGTTCAACGATATCTTTCGATAGAACAAGATGCCTGAGGAGTGGAGAAGAAGCATATTGGTACCAATCTACAAGAACAAGGGAGATATCCAAAGTTGTACTAATTATCGGGGAATTAAGTTGATGAGCCACACTATGAAGCTATGGGAGAGAGTCATCGAGCAGCGCCTGCGAGAAACGACGCAGATATCAACAAATCAATTTGATTTCATGCCCGGAAGGTCAACCACAGAAGCAATCTTCTTAATAAAACAAGTTACGGAGCGGTTTAGAGAGCAGAAGAAGGACCTCCACATTGTTTTCATTGACTTGGAGAAGGGTTATGACACGATACCAAGAAATGTTATGTGATGGGCTTTGGACAAACATAAAGTCCCATCAAAGTACGTGACCCTCGTCAAGGACATGTACAACAATGTTGTGACTAGTGTTTGAATAAACGATGATAACACAGATTACTTCCCGATTAAAATTGGACTTCATCAAGGGTCAGCCTTAAGCTCATATCTCTTAGCCTTGGTAATGGATGAGGTTACCCGGAACATACAAGGGGATATCCTTTGGTGTATGTTGTTCGCTGATGATGTAGTGTTAGTGGACGAAAGCCAAGCGGGAATAAATAGAAAACTAGAGTTATGACGGCAGAACCTTGAGTCTAAAGGTTTTAGATTGAGCAGAACGAAAACCGAATACATGAGATGCGACTTTAGTGGAGTTGCACAGGAGGAGGGAGATGTGAGTTTGAAAGGTCAAGTAGTGCCTAAGAAGGATACCTTTCGGTATCTGGAATCGATGCTAAGAAGGATGGAGATATTGATGCGGACGTTATTTATAGAATCAAAGCAAGGTGGACCAAGTGACGACATGCTTCTGGCATCCTTTGTAACAAGAGGGTACCACAAAAGCTAAAAGGCAACTTTTATAGAACGGCGATTAGACCGGCTATGTTGTATGGAGCAGAATGTTGGCCTACAAAGATTCGACATGTTCAACAACTGAGTGTTGCAGAAATGTGTATGTTGCGATGGATTTGTGGTCACACAAGAATGGACCGGGTTCGGAACGATGATATACGTGATCGCCTAGGGGTAGCACCAATTGAAGAAAAGCTTGTCCAACATCGGTTGAGGTGGTTTGACCATGTCCAAAGGAGACCTCCAGAGGCACCAGTGCATTGTGGAGCCTTAAGCCAAGCTAATAATATGAGGAGAGGTAGAGGAAGACCGAAATTGACATGGGGGGAGGCAATAAAAAGAGATTTGAAAGCTTGGGATATACCTAGAGATCTATGTTTGAATAAGAGTGTTTGGAAATCAGTTATTTAAGTGCCTGAACCGTGACTTGGGGCTCTTGGTGGGTTTCAACTCAAGCGTACCCCAACTTGCTTGGGACTGAAAGGCTATGTTATTGTTGTTGTTGTTGTTGGATAAAGGGACTAGGGTCAATGTAAGTATGTATAACTAAAATTTGAACTAAATTCTTGCTTTTTCATAGTAGCTGACAATAGTGTTTTTTACCTAAGATTGTACAAGCTACAAACCTCCTGCGTATGCAAATAGTATGCATTTCTAAAAACAAGGCAATAGGTGATCCATACAGAAAAAACATCACCATGAAGTATAAACCTTTTTTTTTGAAATAGCAGGTCTTCAAAAACATCCTATCTATCGTGATAGTTAGAATAACGGAGGACATAGTGGGGACATATGACTGACCTTTGTTTTCGAACAAATGAATTCCACATATGCATAATAAGCTTCTCATCTTTTGTAACATCAACAAAATCGTCAAGCATCTGCTTTTCAGCCGTTAAAATAGCAATGATTAAAAAAATATTTTATGTTTCAAAAGAGAAGAACAAAATAGTCTCATCTTACCCTTCTATCCTCAAAGTCAGCAATATCATCATCAACCTCGTCTTCACTATCATGATCTGAGAAGACTTGTTCCAATGACATTGGCTACAACAAAGTGCATTAATGTGATCAAACTAGTCCTCAAATGAAGGCATTAATGCACAAAGAGTCCAAGTTGTAATAACAAGGATAGCAAAGGAGCCTGTAGCCTAGTGGTCGAAGTGACCTTAGTAGCATCCCAGGTCCTGAGTTTGAATCCCCGTGGGAGCGCGAATTTCAGGCTGGGTAAAAAAGGTCACTCGCTGATTTCTCCTGGTCGGCATGGGTGAACGGGCCCTTGTGTAAGGGACTGGTAGTGGGTTGGGCCTCAAAGCACGGGTTAAGGCACAAACCATAGGAGCTGGCATCCCCATGTAGAGAGGGGGGGGAGGGGTTTTGTGGCCTATCTCATGCCAGCTCCGGTTGAGCTCTTCTCTTAAGTAAAATACCGTGGGGGCGGTCTTTCCCCTACCGGCCGAGTTTTCTAATAACAAGAATACGCAGTGCCTGCTGCTAGTGGAGATTATAGGTTGGGTCTGAATTCCCTAGTCATTTTGGGAGCCTAGAGTATCTGGCGACATAGAAATGATTGTGTTTTTAATGGGGCAACCCCAAATGTTAACTTGGCTCTGGCTCTGGCTAGGAAAGAGGCTCATTGGTGGAGCCTAGCAGGAGCCAAGGGAATTTCCCTGCTCTGCTGGAGGATCAATCTAATGGGCTGCTGTAGGGTCGTCTTTTTGTCTTTCTTAACCGGTGATCCAGTGTCTATGTAGTGGTGGGTGGGTGGGTGGGGTTCGGGTCTATGTATGACTCTTTTTCTTCTATTAATACAATGATACGCAGCTCTCCTGCGTGTTCGAGAAAAAAAAGAATATGCAGTGCCAAAAATCTACAAGAAAGAGGGACCAGAACTATCACAGAACTACCACGAACATATGCATTCAGTAATTTCATTGGTGTGGAATCAGAAAGTAGGCAAAAGTAATATAATAATAACAACAATTGAATACAGCCTAAGTTCCACAATATGCGCACGCATGGACGAAAGTTACATGGAAAGAGGTGATTGGTTTTTACTAACATGTGCCCTGTGTGAATGGAAGAACTGGCGCTTTTGCAGCAGTTGTCGACTGACAAATAATATAAACACAAGCAAACAGTTAGTTAAGCATGTTCCAATAGATGCACATCAAATAAAAAATATTTGGTACAACAAAAAAACATTACTTTCTGGGGTCAGATCGCTCAACAGATAGCTTCCTCGATTTCCCAAACTGTAGCACTGTTGGTGATGAAAGATTGCTCCCATGTACAGGCTGACTAGGGTCAACTGAAGCGTGTGCTACAGAAAACCCTGAAAAGTTTTTACCATCAGAGGAAAAGTAGGGAACATAACAGATGCAGAAAATGTTAGAGCAGGCAGGAAGCAACAATGCAGGTTTTTCTCGGCATGCGGAGTAATAATAATAATTAAAAAATGGAAATAACTAGTTGAACAGACAGTAGCTCAGCAGCCCTTTTCGCCTAGTAAAAGTAAAAGGTTCGACTTTCACTGCTCCTATAATGCAGTATTGCAGTGCATCAAGTGTTCAAGAAGGGTTTTATGCACAATGTGAGATTATCCAACACTCTGGGTGACAAGTGACAACAACGAACTGCTGCATTGAAGAAAGGAAGAAGACAACACCCAGTGGATTTGCATGATTTACCATCAGACCAAACATATATTTAACCAAACCAATAAGATAGGAGAACGGCAGATTTCAAAGCCACGTCAAGTAGATGTGTAGTTGATGATAAGATTGTTTTTGACAGAACAGCTTTAAGAAATTTCAGCAATTGGCTAACTGCTTTTCTTTATCTTTAGATCTAAGTTGCAAATAGAGATATTTATTGTGTATCAAATTACACATAAAGTGTAGAGAAGAAAGAGGCGTTTGAACCTAGTTTGATTTGAAAATGAACTATTGACCATGGTTGAAAACCAAATTAGTAGCCAGCTCAGTTTTTCCTTATCATCTTTATTGGTGGCACTTGTTGGGTTGCATCTCTACTACCCTACTTGGGATTAAAAAACTTTGTTGCTGCTGTTGTTCTTGACTAACTTTTTCTCGGCAGCTTTAAAAAGTGCAGTAGTGAGCACAAATGCAAAATATTCCTAAGAGATCACAAGATGCAAATGTACCGTTCTCCCTTTGCACATAGTCGTCTTCAGACGCTGCCTGGGCATCTTCATGTGATCCTGATTCCATAATATGTGGGTGAACATGCCTGATTTTCTTAGCTGTGGTTTCCAACCTTCTACGCTTCTTAAACCTAGAGCTGATTGAACAAAATTAGGAAACAAAACATATAAAGCATCATTGGGGGAGGGGGGGGGATGAACAAGCAAGCATACCAGTAGGAAAATGTTTGATGCCTTGGATCAACTCCCTCTACCACAAACTAGATATAACTGACCCATTAGTTAATAATAAATACAAAGTTCTCCAGATTAAATAAATAAACAGTATCCACCATGCATGACTATCCTAATGGCAAGCATGTAGAACCTTATCCCACGGAAAATCCAGTAAGGCATACAGTATATTATTGATGACATTTTAGGGAAAGGTAGTTAATTTTCTAACGTGAAATACTAATCGATTGTTCATGTGCCATTTGATTCTGCACTCAACAAAGAAAACACAAAGCTAAGAACAGCACAGCAGTAGTGAAGACACGGATAGAAGAACACTAAGGGGTATCATGAACACATGCAAAGTAGAATTAAGTTCATCAATTATGCCTCTAATGTTATCAATATATTTGACTATAACAGTCCAATATCATATCACCAATTACCTCAGTTTTCCAGGCATCAGCCTTCAGACTAACATTCACAGCCTGGCACTCTTCAGATATCTGTGTATGACAAAAAAAAATATTAAATTACGAAGATCAGGAAGATTTTGCAATGGGTATTCCACAAGTTTACATACCCAGAACTCATAGTGGAACAGGTCATGTGTTGAGTTTAAGTGGCATCCCAGGCCCTAGAATCACCATAGTAATGATATTAGATACAGCTTGATAGAAAGGCAAAGTGAATGTAGAACAAACTAATTATGAGGTGTGAAATAACTTTAGGATATGTGCTTTATCATAAAGTGTAGCAGGTGAGGATCTGACATGATTGACCACATATAGCAGCACTAAGTGACATACGAACAGTAATAAAAAGGGAACTCTGCTTTAGTTTTTACCTTGAAGCTTCCACATCGTACCAAGCAAAATGGGCAGGAAAAATCTTCAGTAACTGGTAAGAACATATCAATGGGATGTATAAGAAAAAGTGAAACATAAAAGCAACAAAGAAGAAGCAATAAGAAATCTTGTCCACCGATAGATGTCCCAAGCATTAAACATTTTTTTGTCTGTGTGTTTGTACATCCTAATAACTGTAGAATGAATAGTGAAGTAAGCTATTTCTCTCTGTGATTCTTAGCACACAGGTTTAGAGAATAAGGCGGTACAAGGAACAAATACATGGAACTAGAAACAAGAGAATGCATGATGCAGCCTGGCAACAGCTAAAGTGGATGCAATCGAGGCAGACGAGGGGAAGGGGGAGAGAGATAACCTTCAGTCTTTTGCATTGTATTATTGTAGTACTTGTAATTAAAAAGTACATTTCCAGCCCTCAACCTGCGCAACACAAAATTATTTGATAAAGCATTGACGTAAAGGATGCACCAAATACTAAGACACTAGGTGATGTTAAGGTATCATCTATGTGGTCAAGGCAATCCAATGCAGCACAGGCTATTAGCTTCATGTCATGTTCTTTAACAAGAACCAGCAATTGAAAACTGCACGTACAATCACTACTGGTTGGGTGACCAAACGAAACCTGGTTTGCAAAATATGTAGAGAGAAATTGAAGGATGCAGCAAGAATAAGGACAGAGAAGTTACTAAATTCTAGAAAGGGGGGGCTATGCATGCATTATAGTTACCTTATGATTTCTGGTAATAATGAAGGTGGGACATTATCATATGAGTAATTACAATAATAAGGAGACAAAAGTAATTCTCTTGCACCAGCCTCTTCTGCGGATATGCATACTTGTAATTGGTATGAACCCTGCAACAATAGAGCTTAGTAATCTCAGCAAAACTGAAGGTGTCGCATCCTACAGACAAAATTTACTAAAATTCATTAGTTACAATTACAACTGACAACAGGCTTCAGTTCCCTACATGTGTAACAGAACAGTGATTTGCAAAATCTTTATTTCAGCATTAAAAGTTCATTAACTTTTGGATTTTGCCCCTCTTAGAAGTTGATTTTTTTTCCAAAATTATTGTCTCTTTTTATTTGAAAGAAGTAAATTGAGCTAGAAGATTGGTGGGGCAGGGCAAGTTCCTCTAAATTTGAAGATACTTAATAGATTACACATGGAAGGAAGAAATGGGAAGGACCTTACCGTAGCATCAACCTTATGAGAGCAAAATGTCAAGCAACTGTCTTGTTCCAGAAATTTTGGCTGCATGCATTAAAAAAAATATGTAACTTTCAACAAAAAGCAGAGAAGATAGCAGTCTCTGAAACATGAGAAACAAAACAAGGAGGAAAGTAAAGCAGAATCGATGGAATGTTTCCTGCTATGCAGATTCCAACCTGTACCATCAAATTCAAGTAATTTATGACATGGATTGCTAAGTTGAAGAGTTAGTTCGTATAGATTGCCACACATACTTTAAGATGTGGAAATCTGTAACCTATATCATTGGAACAGTAGGTCCCAAAATAGTAAAATACCACAACACATCTTGCTTATACAAAAATATCCCTCCTCTTGTGAACAAAGAGAGAAATTTTCTCTGTTATTTGCTCTGTGATACTATATTTAAAAGAACAAGACGAAATTTACATGAAATGCAGAAGCACAAACAGTTTAATTTAACATACCTCTAAGAAGCTTGGGTTCATTGTAACTGTAGAAGCCAAATCCACAGCATCTCCTGTACTTAAAGTCACACATTTCTCCAAAGAGGATGCAAGTACATTAGTCGGTATTTTACCCCAGGAACATTTCCCTTCAAGCTCTGTTTAAATGCATAGCAAAAATGGCTGTTAGCCAATTCAATAAGAATACACGTCTACAGTTGGTTTACTTTCAACAGCCTATATTCTTAATAATTGTTTTAAGATACTAACATAATGAATTAATTATGTACTTTGTAAAAAATGGTAAAACAACAATGAGGATCCGCTTGACAGGAAGAAAGGTTAATCCGATTACTAATAAAAAAAGGACTTATCAACATGCTATCCCGGCTAGATGAGTGATCACATAATGTCAGAATATTCTGTTCATCTGATCATTTCAATTACAGTACAGCTGAGCAACATAGAAGATTTTTGCTAAAATAACAGAGCAAAAGATTCTGTAAAATGGACACGGTACTCTCAAATTTTCCAGTTTTGAGTAACAAATTTATAACAGATTGATTTCTTCCACAAATCCACATGAACGAGAAGGCTTTGCACACGGCTGTGGTTTACAGAAGCTTTAGGTAACTTCTGCTTTCAAGGGCTGAGCTGGATGCTTGATATTCCTTCGTTCCAAATTATGTCGTTTTGGCTTTTCTAGGTACATTATTTTTGCCACTTATATAGACACAATACATATCTAGGTGCATAGCAAGATCTATGTACCTAGGAAAGCCAAAACGACTTATAATTTGGAACGGAGGGAGTAATATGAAGTATGAATTGGATTCGGAACATATTGAGCCAGTTTAGTCCAATGAGTTCAGAAGAAAGCAGACCCAGAAGCCTCAGGTGTTAGACTGAAAGAAGCTTCCCCACCCACCTCTTGGGTATAGGTGGTGTGAGAGCTAGGTATTTGAGAAGACAATTAGACCTCCTACAATATAAAGAAGCAATGCACAAACGGTTAATTCAAACAGAGTGGAAGTCAAATCTCTGCCACAAAGGCAGAGGTTCAAGTCACCACTAACTACATATTAATAGGTTTCTTGAGAACTTTCTGCGATTTAACTTGTGTTTTGTTGATTGCTATGTCTTAAAATATTTTTATTAGCCAACTGTGCCATTCTGTAAAAAAAAAAAGTAATTTATTGTGGCACATGCTGATCATCAGCCATAAAATGTCCACAAGAACTTACTTTGGAGGGAAGATCTTTCCACATCATTCCCAGAGTAGCTATCTTCACCAATAATCTGTCCTACTTGCCCTATTCAAATAGAGAAGAATTTGATGACCAGCAAATGAGTGAAAAGGACAAATACCCACATAAGATGCACAACTTACCACAGCTAATAAATATAATGTTAAGGTTGCAAGCACGGGAGGTTGACAAATTCTTCACGTCAGGGATGATGAATGTGGCTTCAGTTTTGCCTTTATTTCCAAATTCGCTAAAATTTGTAAGCATACAAACCCTACTGAATCGATATATCGGAGAATGCTGAAAAATGAATCATGCATCAGAAACAAGATCCTATAGTAGGCAAACTTAAAAACCCATTACTCGTTTTCACAAACTAAAGAGAGTTACACTTACCGCTTCAAGCGAAATATTACTGGTAGGTCTAACTAAAAGTACATAAAGGGGAAAGATATTCTGTGCTTGTGTATTTGTACTTGCAGAAAGTGATACGGTTATTTGAATCCTGCATTGGTAGAGATAAACTATCAAACACAGACCAATAACGGCAACAAACAAGTTTCTTGTTTGAACAGTGCAGGTGGTTCATCAAAAAGATAACAACAACAACAACAACATAGCCTCTCAGTCCCAAGCAAGTTGGGGTAGGCTACAGTTGAAACCCACCAAGAGCCCCAAGTCACGGTTCAGGCACTTCAATAGCTGTTTTCCAAGTACTCCTATTCAAACATAAATCTCTAGGTATATCCCAAGCTTTCAAATCTCTTTTTATTGCCTCCCCCCATGTCAATTTCGGTCTTCCTCTACCTCTCCTCATATTATTAGCTTGGCTTAGGACTCCACAATGCACTGGTGCCTCTGGAGGTCTCCTTTGGACATGGCCAAACCACCTCATATGCATAGTAAATAATTACTCAGGTGATAACACCTGAGTAATTATTTACTATGCATATGAAGAATATGAAGCCATCTAGTTAAGACACCTACTAAAAGTTGAAAACTAGGAAGTATAAAAAATAGAAGCATATCAGTTCAGTGTGTGGATTGTTGGTTATTGATGTTTCTTCTCTTCTCCAAACCTCATTGACATTTATGATTGGTCTTATTAATGAAAAAGTGTGACTAAATTCAGAGCAATCCCTTATTTAGCTGTTGGGCATTCAGAGCAATAAAAGATTCCAGATTTCCCACACAAACAAATAAATGACGGTAACTCCAATCATTTGACACCAAAAGAATAGACTAATCCTACAATCTTTGGAACTGTAGCTAAGTAAAAACAGAATCATGAGAAGAAGACACCAACAATTAATATTATTTATTCTATGTACATAGTTCCTAAGGAATAGTAAAGGAAACTGGAAGAGAAACTCCAATAAGCCTCAAATGATCTTACAACGGCGACAGCTAAAAAAGTAACTAACAAAGAAACTATAATCCTAATCCTAAATTGGTAATTTGTGCCACTGGTGCTGAGCACTCTTGGCTGTGCCCATGCCCATGCAATGACATTAAACATAAGGGACATAGGCACCATATTGATCCTCACTTATCAAGCTATTGAATTGAACATGGAACGGTACATAGCGAGGTGCAAATGTTCAAAATATTTGACAGTTCATTTAAGGGCCGAACCTCTTTTTTCTCCTTGCCTGTATCTTATATAGAAGGGATCTTTGAATAAAAGGGGGCTGCCAAATATAGAGAATAATTATTATTGGTATCTCATAGCATGCACAGGAAACAATTACTGGTATGAAATAATATGTGAACAATGTTATGACAGGATTGCAATTGTAAGATGAAATTTACATTTTTAACGGCTCGCCTCTGGATAATATTGTACAGCTCAATTGGCTTGCAATACAAGGCAAAACTTTTTTCTGCAGCGAGTTGTTCATCTGGAGATAATTGAGCCCTAGAGTGTTGAAGGCACATCTCCAATATTCCTGCGCAGAAACACAATGCACATCAACTAACATAAGTACAGAACCCTCTCTCGAATCACTTAAGGAACAGCAACGGCAATACTGTCATGGTTACAGATCTCTAAAGCAGCGGTATACAAAACAAGTCGCCTAGTTTCCAGAATCAACCAAGTTAGGTACCACATAAATTTCCAGTGACCAGCTATTTTGAACTCCCAAAAACAGGTATCTGCAATGGAGCTTCTCACTGCCTGCCCAAACCTAAACATTCCGAGCTAAGATGTGTCACAATGCACCACCCAAGTCTTTGAACAATAATGCATATATAATTCTCTACAGAGCTGTTACCAATCATGCACCTCACACGCGATATGACAAACAAATTTGGACAACCCAGTGCAGAAGCGAATGTCACTTGGGTGATGAGGATTCAATGGAAAGTTGAACCACGACCCTTTTTGAAAATAATAAATATCAATCACCCCACCCTAATCGAGCCGTGAACGTATAGGGCTTGACGATTAGGTTAACACCACCGAATAGCATAAAAATCCACAGCTAATTTAAGCAATTGAGTCTGATTAGAACAAAAAAAAACAATCTTTCTTAGAACGACAGAATCCATCATGCAGGGAAACCAGAATCGCTAGCACGGGAAGTAACAGCTCTCACCTGGAAGATAGCAGCCCCACTGGACCGAGAGAGAGAGAGAGAGAGAGAGCGGCTGGTGGCTAGAGGGTTTGGCCGGGATAGGATGGGACCTGCGGCGTTTAGCTCGGCAGGGATGCGTTGGGAGCCTCCCTTCCCCTGCGCAATTGAGGTGGAACTCTGGAAGTGGGAAGCCGCTTGTACTCTTCAACGAAGTAGAAACGGCCGGTTCCCCACGCGGCGAGCCCGAGCTCCGGTGTACGGCGGCGGCGATAGGGGAACAGGGAATTGTGAGGGTTTGTTGGGACGGGGAGCTTGGTCGGGTCGGGTCGATTGCGGCGGCGAGCGCGTGGTCGCGATGGAAACGGAGGATGTCTGAGAGCTGTTTCTCGATTTCTCTCACCGTTGGATTGCCTCTGCTGTCTGATGTTCTCTATAATATTCTTTCCTTTCTATTTACTATATTGGTATATGACATATAGATAGAGATACAGGTAGGATATAAGAAGACAAAATGTATTTTTGCAATTTATTAATTGCTAGTATTAGCTAGGTGGATTCAATCGGCCCCTGATGATTAGCTATGCTCACGTCGTCATCATCATCTCTAAAAAGTAAAAACATGCTTATCCAAAATCTTCAACCATACACATGTACCCAGCTACAAGCCACAAACACCTAGAAGATTACATCTCTAGTAAGGTCGATAAATAACAAATCCATCTGGTGGCCTACACATCAATGAAGTTTTGATGATTTTCGTCTTGCTACAAGTTTGGCATGCCACATGTTTTCCTTCGAAAACCACTTTTACAGCCGAATATGTGGAAGACGCATCGTCTGCCGCAACCGCGGCATGTTATAACTCCAATGCGGCGTTCTGAGAACATAGACCCAACACGTTTTTTTAGACTTTATCATAAAATCTTTCTAAGTTTTCTCTCATCTCATATTTCCATATTATGACACTCGAAAATCATACTCTCAATATATAGAAACACATGTGTCTATAAAAACTACTGAATGATTATTAAAGTAAGTCTTTTCAGGTACTTACAAGAAATAGGAAAGTATTGAAACAGTTTCATCTCCATTGCATAATAAAAATGAGTTGTCAATAGTGTTAGGTCCCATGTCATCGTCTCTAAATAATAAATACATACTCATTCACTACAACCATGGAAGTGTACCTAGATCTAAATCTACAAGCCACTGGGACCTAGAAGATAACATATGTAGTAAAGTCGACAACTAACAAATCCATCTCGTGGTCTACACGTCAGAGAAGTTTTGAGTTGTTGTTTTAAATGACTTTCGTCTTGCTACAAGTTTGGCATGACATACGTTTTCCTTCGAAAACCACTTTTACGCCAAAATATGTGGAAGACGAATTGTCCACCGCAAATCGTGGCATGTTGTACCTCTGATGTGGCATGTAAACCGAACATGCCTAAATGTTTTTAGACTTTATCAAAAAATCTTTCTAAGTTTTTTCTCATCTCAAATTTCCATATTATAGCACATGAAATCGTACTCTCATTATATATAAAAACACATGTGTCCACAAAAAGTACTCCATGATTATTAAGATCTTTACAAGTATTTATAAGAAATAGAAAAGTATTGAAGAGATTTTCACTCTCCGTGGCACAATAAAATGGGTTTTCAATAGTGTTAGGTCCCATGTCATTTATCGACAAAATTATTATGTGAGTTGTCTATAAACAATTATAACTAATGAAATTTTAGGCCCTCAATAATTTATATAGAGAGAAAACTATTATATTTGAGAGTTGCTTATAGTTCATTCAAGTCTCCCATAAAGGAATATATGCCATCCCTCTGCACAAAATCGCCTTTGGCATTAAAGATGGATAAGATATATGTCATCCACGTGTCCTTACAATTCCAAACTCGAGAATAAGAAAAAAGAAGTTTTTTTGTGTCTCTACACAGCCATTAGAGTCTAGGTGTCGGGTTCATAAACCCGGAGTCCCTCATGGACCGGCTTCCCAACAAAGTCTCGGCCCAGTAGACAACGTTGCGAACAACGCGCAACTCATGGGCCGGCCCAAACACCTAAACGACAGCCCAGAAGGACAATCCAATCTCCGACCGAAAGGCCTAGCCGAGGAGGAACGGCGCCCGCTTCCGACTCTAGCCCGCCTCTCCGGTCGGAAGGCCTCACGAAGGAGGAACAACGCTCGCTTCCGACATCGGCCCACCTCCGGAAGGCCTGACCAAAACATCAATTCCGACTCCAACCCACTTCTTCGACCGGGAAAGCGCCGAACCCCTACTTACAGCTCCTCACTGACTGGCGCAAACAGAGCCGACTAGAACCAACCGACTGGGGACGCCCGCTCGGTAAGGACCAGGAAACAGACAGAGAAAGTAAGGCAGGAAACTCAAGTCAACCGCAATACCAAGCAACGTACCCTGTACACCTATAGAACAATACCAACAGGGCATGTTAGAAGGGTACCATGTAACCTTCCTGGCATATCAGAGCCCAAGCAGTGTTGTGGGCACCGACATTTGCCCTATAATGTTGTAGGCGCCATCAACTCCCATAACAGACGAACACGGTAAGGCTCTCCCCACATGTCTCTGGGCATCAACAGTATTATGGGCGCCGACATTTACCTTACCAGGCAAATATGGTAAAACCCTTCACATGCCTCTGGGCATCAACAGTATAACAGGCACCGACATCTGCTATGCCGAAAGAAGACGACGCAACCTCCCACATGCATATGACATTAACAGTGTTGTGGGCACCTACAATCATCTTGTACCCGATGGCGTGGGCAACAAGACTTAGCATACGTACTCTCTCTCTCTCTCTCTTGTAAGGTCATCCCCTTTATCTATAAAAGGGGATGCGATTTCTCCCAAAAAGGGACGATCGATTCAGGACACCACAACAGAAACACCAGGTTCAAACCTCGAGCACACGCTCAAACACTTAGTACATAGCGGAGCTCCCATCACTCTTGGCCCTTCAGACAAGAGTCCGACCGGACCTCTTGTACCCCCTATCTTTCTCCTTCTCGTTTGTAACCCCACTGCAAACTTCGAGCACCTGGGCTCAGGAATAAAGTCACCGACCGACTCAAACTAGACGTAGGGCACATTGTCTGAACCAGTATAAACCCTGTGTCATTGAGTGCTAGGCCACATCCGATCACAACGTACGGCAAAACTATAAATATTTACGTGTTGGTCACTTTCTGCACCGACAGTTGGCGGCGTCTGTGGGGAAGACGTTGTACGTTCAACACTTTTTGGTCATCGAATGGCCCACTTTTCCGCCACTGGAGTTTCCTGCACGCCCACCTATGGGGATGTGGGGTCCATCCGTCTTCGAGCCATCCCAGGCCTTCCTCTTTGGAAGCCTGGACTTCGTCGCCGACCGGCTCGGCATACTACACCTCCGTGAGGAGGCACTTGTTTCGACGCCCGTCGGAGGGGCATCCTCCATCGGCTCCGGGACGCACGACGACTT